GTGTGTGTGTGTGTGTGTGTGTGTGTGTGTGTGTGTGTGTGTGTGTGTGTGTGTGTGTATATATATATATATATAAAAATCTCACCATTAAAATCTCAAACAGCTTAAACAGTTTGATAGACTGTAGCCATTCTGCCATCAGTGCCCCCAGCTGTGTTGCTTAGCAACATTTTAATTCAAGAAGAATCGAAGGAGATGAAATCCCCGTGGAGAGGGAAACAGAAATAAGAGGGCCGTTGACAGATGATCTGAGTTGTTTCTTCTAATATACTGTGAAGATCACTGGCTCTTTTCATGAATGATAAATGGACTGTACACAGATCAATGGGTTCAGCAATAAACTGGAACCAGGCTCCATGTCTGAGGCGGTGCAGGCCGAGAGGCCCCGAGATTTACTCATTTAGATGATTTGGAGTGTGTTTTCTCAAAGGTTTCACAAGAGGAAATTGATCTGAACATTTGGTCATCCCTTGCCCTTTTCTGTTGTTGGCTAATAAAAATTGTTTTGGAAATAGAATCCGTTCGTGCCTTTATTTGTTTCCTGTTGTTCTTGTTCTAGGTGTAGGCAGCAAGGTTATGACAATATGACCGGACCTCAAGATGGAAAATACAGAGCTCGTTCTGAATGAACATCTCCTAAACACTTGTGGCCATTAAAAGTAAAGCCTGTAGAGATCTCAGTGATGGAGTATTTTAAGACTTATAACATTCATGCCGTGAAGGGTTTAGCAGTTGCCATATTTACTCTGGTGCCTATTTAACTATGACCGCCTGCTTTCGTTTGCTCATTCCCTTACTGTAGTTTGTTGGGTTTTTTTACTTTGGCTCCAGGAAAAATTGTGCTTAGTAATGTTGCTTAATTTTTTTTTCCTCTTCTATTTATAGGCTGCCGAAAAGACAAAACCAAGGAACATTCCTGTAAAGTAAGTTACTTTTATATCCGTTAGAAATTCAGCTTTAATGAACTTCATGCAAAGAACCACAAAAAAGGCCTGCTGTCGGCAATAAAATAAACATGGGATCTCAAGTCCCTCCTTAATCATAGCCATGAAAACGTCCCGTGTTCAGCAAGGACAGGTTTTGATTTGTCATGTGTTCCTAATGATTGTATGCCCCGAGTTTCATCCCGTTTACATAAATTAATATGTGCCCTCTATGAATAGCTGCCAAATAATATCATAATCATATTCAATATGTAGTCCTCCTAGCCTTGGGGGGATTGCACATGTTAAAAAGATTACATTTCTTAATTGCAATCCTTGGGAAGGTCTGACAGAGGGGGAAATAACTGAGAGTGTGCCAAATCATTTCTAGACACATGGGAATATTTTGCACCTATGTATCAGGGCTTCGCCATCCTGTTGAATAAGAGCGTTCTCTTTTTCTGTCCCTCTCTCTCCTACACACACACACGCATATGCATACCAAAATGTTTCTGCTTCTTGCAGTTGCAATCTATGATGGGTGAGCAAGTTACCAGAGACCAATTGCCAGAGCATTTTATGAGATTTTCTTAAATCTTAAGGCACTAGTCAAAACGTTCTGCACTCTCGTTGAATTAAGAAAGTTGCTATAAAGATACCCTAGTTCTCGGAAAAAAAGAGGTTTTCAATTAAGGGTAATAACAATCAGTAGTTGCTTTTCTCGGCTTAAACAACATACACTCCAGCTTCAGTGCTCTCCAGTGACAAAAGCAGATGATCCTTGTAGTTTGACTAAGTCCCTAGGAGTTGTATGATCCGGTTGTAGCCAATGAAAATTCTCTTATTTTCATAGTACTTTGCTGATTATGAGGGCTTTTGGAAAACAGAATGACCTTATTCCAAGTGGCTGTTGAATTTCTAGAGACAAGCTCCGGAAGCACTCGTGAATGGCTGTACTTAGGGATAGAACGAGACACCTTCGGCCCTGAGTCTCTCTTACATGCCACCTGGAATAGTAATTTAGCAAGTGCAAAATTTGTGTGAACGCTGATCAGAAGAGGTATACAATGTGTGAGGCAGCCTCTGTTTGTTTAATTTCATCTGATGAAAATAAAGAACAGATACTAAGGGGGCCTCGCTCGCTCACGGAATCGTCCATTCCAACGTAAATTGAAATGCATCCCGAACTGGATTGAAAGTCCATGCTATCTAATGGTCATATGATAGATTGTGTAAAGGAAGTCAGTGAGTTCAGCTGCCGTGGGATCAGGGAAAGGATCGCGAGGCTCCCACATAATATAATTATTCATTCAGTAATTTATAAAAAAGATATTACACCAGAGCCTCTGCTGGTATCAGTGGGACTACGCCACTGAGTGGTCCTGCTCCAGCTTACCCTAGCAAAGAATCAGACCCTTCCTTAATTAAGTATGTTACTGTGGTGTACAAACTACTCCTTGAAACTATTTGTTTTCATGTTTTAAATGAAATCACGGCTTTCCAGGGCCTGAAAAATATAGCAACATTTTGGGATGGAAAAAGGCCAGATGGCCAGTCTAGCTCTCTCCACCTACATGTGTATACTTCACCCTGTCATGTTTTCCCCAACTGCTTGTTTAACTTGCCTTTGAATATGTTCATGGCTGCAGCTTCAATTAGTACCCTAGGGAGTCCATTATACATATTAATTACACTCTGCATATAGAAGAGCTCGAAGATCTGCCTAGTATTTTTCAATGAAATGTTAGTCCTTAATGTACCTGTATATGGCAGTGTTTTTGCCCTAAAACAGTACCTCTGAGGGCAAGACTAAAAATGGTGTCCTTAAGATAACTGTAATAGATATAGATTGTATTAGTATAAACGTGGCAGCTACACTTAGCACAGCAGAGACTTGTCTAGCTTTTAATGCTGTCGCTTCTGTAGCTTTCAAATGTCAAAGAGAATTTCACTTGAATTTTAATGTTCTTCAGCTACACAAAATAAAGTTAGTAGCTTCCATTGTCACAAGGGCTGAAAGCTGTGCAGCTTCCTTCTACCATATGTGACTTATCACATACATTTTTAAAAACACATTTCTGTTATTAAGACATATGTGATAGTACACTTCTGCAAATGTGAATTGCTTTTGGCTAAAAGCCATGCACTAATAAGTTGGGTTGAATCTAACTGCGGTTGACATCTGTTGATATATAGATGTGTGTGTGTGTGTCTACACACACACACACACACACATCTTCATATATATATAGTATAGCACTATATATGTGTGTATATATATACACACATATATAGTGCTATACTATATATATATGAAGATGTGTGTGTGTGTGTAGACACACACACACATCTTCATATATATATAGTATAGCACTATATATGTGTGTATATATATACACACATATATAGTGCTATACTATATATATATGAAGATGTGTGTGTGTGTCTACACACACACACACACACACACACACATCTTCATATATATATAGTATAGCACTATATATGTGTGTATATATATACACGTACATACATACACATATATATACACATATATATGTAAGTATGGGGGGGTGTATAAATATAGGTATAAGTATATGCATACCTATATGCATATGTATACCTATATATATATATATAGGTACAGGTATAGGTATATACACATATATAGTACTGTACTATACTATATATGTATGTAGCTGTATGTGTATGGATATATGTAAAAAATATTTCCCGTTTTCATTAGTGTAAAAAAAGTTCCCTGATTTTATATTTTACAGACATTGTTCCTATTTCCCAGAACCAGATTCAGAAATCATTCATTTTTAAATATCACATTTTAAGACTGCCTAATATTGAGGCCTGGTATTGGGTGTTTAGGAGACTTGTGATGAATTACAAGGAAATTATCTGCTTCTTTATAGTCACTTACATTATCGATGCTGTTCTTTTCACATTCAGTAACGTGGGCACCACTGGTAGAATTCAGAAGCATGTTTTACATAGTAAAACATGGATCAATGTGGAAGTTGGCTGCCCCCCATAAATTCTACCACATCCATTTCATGTTCTTGAACTTTCTGAGAAAAACAACAGATCCCACCCTGAAGTCTTATAGGCATGTCAAGGTTCTTGCTTGTGTTCGGAGGCGTTTAACAAACTGGAGTGAACACCTTCAGTGGCTAAGTGTGTGCAGGTGGTAGCCATGTTTAGTCCACTGGAATATTTTCTCCCTCTTGAACAGCCTGAAGAAGCTTTCAGTCAGGCATGTTGCATTACAGGAAAGTGCTGTGTGGAAGCAGAGTACATCAAGAGGAACTCATCTTTATGCATTCGTTGTATCATCTAGCACCTTTCTATAAATAGCCGTACTGAAAATATATGAAAAGAAGTCACTGTGCCTGCATAATTGATTTTTTTTCCAGTGGAAACAGTGTAGCTACTGTTTAAAACACCAAAAATGCCTCTTTTATCTAGACCAGTTATCCACATGGCCCCATGTTAATGTACTATTTGAGCACCTCTCAGTGTTGAATAGATTCTTCTTCCGTTTAAACAAATATAAAGGCAGTGTCACTCATCCAGTCTTACAAGTAAAGCCAGTATCCTAAAAACTGTATGGGGCATAAAAGGTCTCTGTGACATCTTCCTTTTAAGAATCTTTTAAGTTCCAAAACTCGTGGCGCTCCAGAGTGGTCCCTAAGCACCCAAAGAAGGCCAATGTTGTGCCCATCTTCAGGAAGGGGGTCAGGTAACTATAGGCCATTAGCCTAACTTCTATCCCAGGGAAAATCCTGGAAACATTAAGGCGTCTGTGTGTGATAGGCTTGCAGAAGGCAGGAACCAGATGAAGTTCAATGTTGTGAAATGTAAAGTGCTCCATCTGGGGATGAGCAACCCCCAACACACCTATAGGCTTGGGAGCGCCAAACTGACCAGCCCCACGAACAAAAGGGACCTGGGGATAATAACAGACCACTGTATGAATGTGAGCTGGCAGCGCCATGCTGTAGCCAGCAGGGCAAATAATACTCTGGCATGCATCAATCGGAGCATCTCCAGCAAAACCAAGGAACTGATTCTTCTGCTTTACTCAGCATCAGTGAGACCACAGCTGGAGCATTGCATCCAGTTCTGGGCACTGCACTGTAATAAGGATGTGGGAAAGCTTGAGCGAGTCCAGAGAAGAGCCACCCGTCTGATCGGAGACTTGCACCGCAAGCCATATGAGGAAAGGCTGAAGGACCTGGGACTCTTCAGCCTGAAAAAGAGAAGGCTGAGAGGGGACTTAATAGCAGCTTATCACTACATCAGGGGAGTACATCAAGGGCTCAGTGAGCAACTGTTCACCAGGGCATCCAAGGGGAAAACTGGGAGTAGTGGCTACAAAATCCTGGAAGACCATTTCAGGCTCAACATTAGGAAAAACATCTTCACAGCTCGGGTGTCCAGACTATGGAATAAGCTCCCTCCAGAGGTGGTGCAATCGCCTACCCTGGAAATCTTCAAGAGGAAACTGGACGGTCACCTTGCTGGAGAGCACCTGACCCCAACTGTCTTTCCTGCCTGGTGCAGGGGGCTGGACCCGATAATCTTCCAAGGTCCCTTCCAGCCCCTTGCTATCTACGAATCTCAAAGTACTTAACAAACGCCAGTGCACTAAAACTCATTCCACCCTTGTCAAATATGCAGGTGTTGGCATCCCACTATTCAGATGCGGAAACAAGAACCACAGCAGCTTAAGTGACTTTTCCAAGGTCAACAGAGGATTTCTAGTTTTAAAAGGAGGGCATTCAAGAACCATTATTAAATTGGGACACATTCAAAGCAGATAGGGTTCTGGCTTATGTGCCGTGCTAGGATGAAGGAGGACGCTCTGGAGGATCCTACTAACATTAATCAGTAGGGTTTATTATGACTCCAAGCCCAGCTTGCCCAATGGCCAAGATGGGGGTTCTGTCTGGAGAGCTTGCTTCCAGATTAATTTTTGGCCAACTCCA